ATGCTGGTAGGCAGCGGCACAATTTTTTCTTCCTTATTTTCCTCCCCCAAAACTTTCCTGATCACATAGTTTTGTAGCGAAGCTAGTATTTCATAATTAAGTAAAAATAGAAAAGACTTATTGGCTGCCTGATCTCTATTAAAATATAAATGCAAGTCTGTTCATCCCTGAGCCATTCTGATGATTTTTTTCTATGATTTGTCGATGGAGATCTTCAATCATCCAGGTCATGGTTGTCCCAAAGGTGCTTTTTCCAAATGGTAACTGGACTTTCTTGGTTTGACACTTTACATTTCTTGGTTCTTAATATTAGTATATCAATAATCCCAATTTATTGCCATTGTTATTGATAATATTTGGATTGTTGCAAGTTGAGCTACTATATAAACTGCTTTGGGTTCAAATATTTACTTACAGTACAACTTAATAAGACATAATAATTTAATTTGCGGCTGTTTTTAACTTTTCTCTTTTTTAGAAATAAAGAGTAATAATAATATAATGGTTAAGTATCATCCTAAATTCTGGACAGATGGAATCTATCAATGTTGCCGGCAGACTGAAAAACTGGCACCTGGCTGTGAAAAGTATAATCTCTTTGAAAATGGTAAGCGCCCTGCTACCTTATAGTCTGTCTATATTTTCATAAATGTATCTTTTTTTAATCTTTACTAATGAATATAATTGCTGTTTTGTGATTCATCAAATAGTTTAATTAGTGTACTGCACACTGCTGTGGGCCCATTAAATTCAAGTTTAACCTTCGACTTACAATTTATGAGAAAATTATATATTTGGCTAATTGGAAAATATATTATCTTCTCCTTAAGGAAAACATATACTTGAATACTCTTGATCAACACTGAAAGCTTAGAATTGTTTTAAAAATAAGATCTGATGAATTCCGGATATGCAGTAGTTGTTGGTTCTTTTTTATATATTTTCTTGTATGATTTGTTTTCCTTTTATTTTTTGTATGGTAAATTGTTCCTTTTTATTTTATTTTACGCTATTTTATGTTTGTTTAAAAATTGATTGATATTTGGGGGGAAATTGCTCAGACACAGTTAGGGTTAGGTAATTGTGTCAGAAGGAATTCCTTCCTTCCTTCCTTCCTTCCTTCCTTCCTTCCTTCCTTCCTTCCTTCCTTCCACTCTTGTGTATATTTATTTTCATTTTTTCTTTCTTCATCATTATGGATATATTTACACTTCAGTATCACAACAGATTGATGATTGAATTTTAATATTGATAATAAAGAATATCACCAGAATAAGGAAACAGTTCATATGGCATCACATTACCCTAGGGAATTAATTCAGTTTCATTATTTTCTGTCCTGAAATATTTTCTAGGATATTAGTTTTAGGATAACAACAAACTGTATAATATACCCATTATTTTAACATTAACAGAAACACAGAGGTTACTGTGAAAACAGCTGTACAGTAAAAGACATTTTCTAATATTCGATAACTTTTTAATGGATATGTGTTAACTTATACGGTTTTATTTTCTCTTGCTTTTTTTAAGGAGTTAAAGCTGTACCTTCATCAAGGACAGATAAACATAAGGTAAGACTAAAATTCAGCACACTAAACAAAAATAAGGGGGGAAATTGCATTTTGTTTGGGATTTTGTTTGGGAATTCTGATAAAGTTATAAACTATTTAGTGGCTAAATTAAATGGATAGCTGTTTTTAAAAATAAAGCTAAATTTATTCTTCTGCAAAATGGAACTTTTAACTATTACTGTAGAGACAATTTTTTCCACCAATTTCATACATGTCTAAATTAGATTGGTAATCATTATCTTCAAAATCTGTAGGAAGATACATAAGTCAAACATAAGTCAAAAGATTAAAATGTATGCATTCTGAAATGGGCTAATGGTCTCCTCCAATCACAGTGCCTGATGGGGGCAGGCTGAGGCACTAAGCACTTTTTTTCACCACTTGTTTCGATGTTGAGGGATAGGCTGCCTATGGACCAGAAGTGGCATTCAGCAGGTTCTGACCAGTTCTGGAGAACCAGTAGCGGAAATTTTGAGTAGTTCAGAGAACAGGCAAATACCACCTCTGACTGGCCCCGCCCCCATCTATTCTCCGCCTCCCGAGTCCCAGATGATTGGCTGGGTCTTCTTTTGTTGCCCCGCACAGGAGAATGGAACTGGAAAGCAGGTTAGTGGGGTGGGGAGGGAATGGGATTTTGCAGTACCCTTCCCCTGCCACGCCCACCAAGCCACACCCACCAAACTGGTCGTAAAATTTTTTGAATCCCACTACTGCTATGGACCTCAGATATATCCCCTGCATATTTTATTTTATTTTATTTTATTTTATTTTATTTTATTTATTTATCCCACCGGAAGTCACTCTGGGTGGCATAGAACAAAGCTAAAACAGTTGATAAATTCATGAAATTGCTTATCATAATTGTTGTAAAAACATTTTAAAACTATAAAAACAAAACAAGGAAATTACAGACAAAAGGACGCTAACCTCACAAGCTCGCCACTCATCTTCCATAAACTGCTAAAAATTAAATTTCTTTCAAAGATGATTGAGATGTTACTTGATTGAGATGATAACGATTAATGATGTTTTTATTGCTATTTCTTGTTTTGATTGACAGCTTTTAGGTAATTACTGTGGATTTTTTTTTATTGCATGGTATTGTGAACTGCAGAAAGTCTTGTTAACTATGGCAGGCAGAAATTGGATGGATGAAGATAGATAGGCAGATAAATAGGTATGGAAGAGAGGCTCGTATTTTAACTCTTCATAAACTTGGCAATTTTAAGGAAGAACTACTTTTTTGAGCCAATTTATGTGTGCAAAAGAACAAAAATGGCTCTAACAGACTTGTTTCTACTGATTTGTTTATTGGCATCTAGTCACCATTTTTAAAAAAACCTGAATTAAATACATAGTCTTCTAAGAGTATGCCTCAGCATTTGTTTGCAACATCAAACTACTTAATTTGGAGTCACCTCAGCAAGGAAAATACTACAAGTTCCCCCCCCCCCCTCATTAGCGTCTCCTTGTAGTTTCTGCTTTCTAATAAGTCTTTAGCAGTTCTCCACTGTTCTCCTCCAGGTTGCCTGACTGGGAATTAAGCTTCACAGAGAGTAAATTTGCATGTGTGTATAGATTCCGACATCCCACCTTCTTGCTTGCTTTTTCTCGTTCATTCATGTTAGCTTCAGAAAAACAAGTTTAGGAACTAGCAGTAACATGTAGTTACACCCTCATAATTGTGCAACCTAAGATGGACAAGCCTCTAACTACGATACCTGCACTAATCACCATTACTCATAGGCATATGGTATATGTCAGCAAGTTTCACTCAGGGATAGACTGTACTAAATGCAAGATTAATAATCAGTTCCTTCAACCCATAAAATGCAATATCGGTATGGTCTCATTGACTCCAATGAGGATATCAACCCGCCCTCTCCATTTTGCCCCCAAATGAATGAAATTTGTAGTTATTTTACTCCATTCTTACAGGATAAAGATTACCAAACGGCTCTCAAAGAAATCGAGAGGTTTTTTTTGGGTGCCATGTGACTTTCAAATTGCTGATACAAATAACATGTGTGCATAGGTATATAATAGATATATAACAGAATGTATAACACAATGAAAGTTTCAGGCCTGCTATTCCCACAATATGAGCTTTTAAATTCCAGGCAATATATTTGGATTTTTGTTTTTTTGTCCCAGGGATTCTTTAGAGAATAGAAGATTTGATTGTTTTTCATACATTTGGGGGCATGTTTGCATCATGGAGGAATTAATAAATAAATAACCTTCTTAATGTTGAAGACTTATTAATAATTACATCTAATTTGCATTTCTTTTTGTTTTCTGTTCAAGTAACATCCGTCTTTTCCAGAACCCTGTATTTGTTAGTAAAATGGAGGGTTCCGGATCCAGAATTAATTTGCAGCCTTAATTTTTATGTTGTATTGCCTTTTAGCAGTTTCCTTCATTATAAATAAAAACTCATTTGTAATTTTTTTAAGTATACCTGTGTCCAATTGGCTAAAGTTTGCTCATCGTTCATTCCATGAGAAAAACAAATAGAATAATATAGATGTACTTGTATATGTACTTGTATAAGTTGCTTACGTGCATTTTAATTGGAATATAATTTTGTGTAAAGTATTTTACTCTGCTTCACTGAGAATAATCAGTTGGAAAAGAGAGTCATCCCAAATCATTATCTTAGTAATTAGAATTATTAGACTATTTCAATCAGGGGTGGGATTCAAATTTTTTAATAACCAGTTCTGTGGGCGTAACTTAGGTGGTAGGTGTGGCTTGGTGGTCATGTGACTGGGTGGACATGGCTTGGTGGTCATGTTATTGGCTGGGTGTGGCCAACTCAATATCACTCACATCGAGGCACGCATCTCCTTGCCTGGCCTCTCATGACTGTGGGGATGCTGCAACAGTCGTAAGTGTGAAAAATGGTCCTAAGTCACTTTTTTCAGTGCCATTGTAACTTTGAATGGTCATTCCACAAAAGCAAAGGAGGGGGAAAAAAACTCCAGAGAAGTTCCAGACACTGGCAGTCTAGTCCTACCAAGAATGTAATAAGGGTTAACAGAGAGGCAGTTTCTGTAAGCAACACCAGAATGCTTCCTTCCTGCCTTCCTTGCAGGATTAGGCCAGTAATTTTTTTTAACAACCGGTTCTCGCGAACAGGTGCAAACTGGTAGAATCCTACCCCTGATTTGAATTATTAACAGATCATAACTTTTTAAGTTTCAGAGAAGGCCTCCACCTCCTGTTCCTCCAGAAGAAGAAGAGGAAGAAGAAGAAGAAGAAGAAGTGGTAGTAGCCATGTACGATTTTGAACCCACGGAACTTCATGATTTGAGATTAGAAAGAGGTCAAGAATATATCGTAATTGAAAAAAATGACATCCATTGGTGGAAAGCAAAAGATAAATATGGGTAAGGAATGCAGTTACCTATTTTAATTTAAGTATAGGCAGAAATAGCTTACATATTACATACAAGATGTCAGCATTCCAAATAACGCACCCATTGAAAGCAAAATTCTGAGGCAAGCAAGTTCCTCAAAGAAAGATTTATTGGATGTATCATATTGGCACAGCTGGTGAAAGCTGACTCTGAATTTTCCCACGACTTTTACCTGATTAAAAGTAAACCTTTTCCCTCCCCACCCACAAGTCACTGGTCACGCTGTCCAATCCAAGTGCTGGCTGGTTGCTTGGTTACTGGCTCCTCCTCTAGCCAGCCACCTGTGTAAATGACCTTGGTTCCTACAGGAAAACATTATTGTTTTGGCTACAAAACCCCATCTAACTCTTTCCTTTCTCCAGAGGTGGTATTCAGCAGGTTCTAACCAGTTGTGGAGATCCGGTAGTGGACATTTTGAATAGTTCGGTGAACCGGCAAATACCACCTCTGACTAGCCCCACCCCCATCTATTCTCTGCCTCCCAAGTCCCAGCTGATCGGCTGGGTCTTCTTTGATTGCCCTGCACGGGAGAATGGAGCTGGAAAGCAGGTTAATGGGGTGGGGAGGGAATGGGGATTTTGCAATAACCTTCCCCTGGAGTCTGGAGGGAATGGGGATTTCACAGTATCCTTCCCCTGCCATGCCCACCAAGCCACGTCCACAGAACTGGTAGTAAAAAAAATTGAATGCCACCACTGCCTCTCTCCCACCATAGTATGGCAACCCTGGAGCCTTCAAGATGGCTTCAGCCAGGCTCACTTCAGCGTTGACACAATATGCATAAATGCATTAGGATTGCCTTTGCTAATATTTTATTAGCTAAAAGAAAGCTAAAATTGCAAGGAAGGGAAAAAATAAAATGTAAAGAAAAAGATACAAAAAAGTCTATCTCGATCTTTATCGGAATACAATTATAATCTCTGTCAATATCCACCAAGGATGCTGGGTTGCCTGCAAACAGCGTTACATAGTAACTACAGATTTCCCAAATTAAATTTTAAAAAAATAAGAAAAAAATGTCAAAGAGTTCAGATGAGAAGAGTCATAATACTGAAATCTTATGTTTTTAATTTTGGGGGGCACAGAGAGAGAGTAAAAGATGGCAATCTGTCAACTCATAAAACATTTTATATGCATGTTTTATAGTTGTCAACAGAAAGAAGGGGGGGAGTTTCAAAGAACAGGCGGCAGTGTGGAATTGAAAATACATTCCATTCATATTCTCTTCAGAGACTGATTAGATGACTGAAGCTTCTGCTGTGCAAAAATCTAATTGGAGAGCATGATTGATGGCTATGGACGTGTTTTTCATTGGATAATACACCCAGAGGAGTGTGTGGGGGAAAGCAGGATTAAGGGTGACAGTGAATTATGTATCTCAGAATTGGCTGTGCCCAGGCTAATGCCAGAAGGTTAACTTCTAATAAACTCTTTTTAGTTTTGGGAGTGTGGCTCGAGGCTCATGATTTAATTGGAGTAACTGCTGGAATCCTGACACAATCATGTCTTAGGCAAATCTCATCTGTGGCACGCATGCCATAGGTTCGCCATCACAGTCCTAGATGATTTATATATGCAATTCAAACATTTCTTACCAGTGACAGCTTTATTAAAATATAAAATTTTAAGTATACTGGTAATCTTTGACTTATAACCACAATGAGAGCAAGAGCAATCTTAATTTTCTCACTACCTGAATTTTAAAATGGCTGAACCAAAAGCATAATGCCTTCAGGTAATAATTGGAAGAAATCTGTTAGTACATTATTTTTCTACGTGGTTTTTAGAGTCCTAGATCAGTGATGGCGAACCGTTTTTGTTGTGGTGTGCCGAAAGTGCACGCCGGCACTCACAGTTTGCACCGCCCTCTGAACATGTGTGTGCAACATCCCCACCCCGCCCACTTACCTGCACATGCGCATGCCTCCCAGCTGATTTTCGGCCCATTTGAGGCTGTTTTTGCCCTCCCAGAGGCTTGCAGGAAGCCTCTGCAGCCTCAGGAGGCTGAAAACGGGCTGATTTTGACACTTCCGGTATTTCCAGAAGGCCCGTTTTTCAGCCTCCCGAGGCTGCAGAGGCTTTCCCCGAGCCTCCGGGAAGATGAAAACGGCCTCAAACGGGCCAAACATCAGCTGGGAGGTGTGCGCATGTGCAGTACAGGTAAGTTTGCCTGGGGCTGACGTGCCCGCACAAATGGCTCTGTGTGCCACCTGTGGCACACATGCCATAGGTTCGCCATCACAGTCCTAGATGATTTATATATGCAATTCAAACATTTCTTACCAGCGACAGCTTTATTAAAAGATAAAATTTTAATTATACTGGTAATCTTTGACTTACAACCCCAATTGAGCCCAACATTTCTGTTACTAAGTGACAACATCCGTTAAATGAGTTTTGTCCCATTTTAGGACCTTTCTCGCCACAGTTGTTAAGCGGATCACTGCAGTTACGTTAGTAATACGGCTGTGAATCTGGCTTCCCCATTGACTTTGCTTGTCAGAAGGTCACAAAAGACACAGTGTCCTGGGGTCATGCGATCCTCTTTTGTCACGGTTTTGACATGTAATCATGGGCAGGTTGCAGTGGTCATAGGTATGAAAAACCATAACACGCCACTTTTTTCAGTGCCTCTCAGCAGTCACTAAACAAACTGTTGTAAGTCAAGGACTACCTGTGTTGTTCCTTTTTGGCCCTCTAGAAGCCAAGGATATATTCCAAGCAATTATGTAACAGGAAAGAAGTCCAACAGTCTGGAGCAATATGAGTAAGTCAACATTTATATAGCAAATGTGATTTTACGTATTTTGATCATTTCATGAGAAAACAGCTGGGGAATCCAGTATGGGGTGATATCCCATTAAGACTCTGCGTCTCCAGAAAGATGCTTAGGGGCCATTCCTGACCAGTTCTGGGGCTGCATATGATGCTGCACAAAACAGTAGAAGTGGCCATTCTTAACATACCAGCCAGGTTCTCTCAAGGATTTTGTCATAGCCAAGTATAAAGTGTCCCATTCAGATTGAGCAGTAAGTTGCCTTTAGAACTGCCTTATTAAAATGAATTTTATTTCATGTACTCTTACAAGTTGATCTCATCATAAATGGATTTATTGGCCATTTTTATTAAATAGTGAAGCAAATTGATGCAAAAGAGAGAGGACGCAATGGAGGCTTAAATACACACACACATGGTGTAGATAAAATGGACATGGAGAAACTAGAATAGAATAGACTAGACTAGACTAGAATAGAATAGAATAGAATAGAATAGAATAGAATAGAATAGAATAGAATAGAATAGAATAATGGAATGAAGACTAAAATAGAAATAGAATAGAATAGAATAGAATAGAATAGAATAGAAT